AAGTGCAAGCGAACGTTAACATGCCCCACCCCACCCCACCCCACATCAACGAGGAAGCATCAACCTGACAGCGCCATAAAATCGCGATTTCCTTGGGGTCGCTAACAGTGGCGATAGCAAAAACAACTATTATACTTTAATCACTTTCAACCCATAATTCCATAATAACAATAGATGTCTAAAGGGAGAAACGAAAGGACATTGAAGAAGGATGCAAAAAAGGAAAAGGCAAAGTGAAGACAAAGATAGACAAAGCAACTTCTCGCTCAGTATTCGTTGCGATGTCCTGGAAGCATCTCCAGCTCTGGTGCTTCCAGCGGCCGTACCGATGGCCGCCCGGACACTGAGACGTCACTCTCCACAGCCTGAGGCCGGTCACTCTGGGGAGGGCTGATCCGCAACTAGAACATGATAACCCTATGCAATGATTGTAAATCGTGCTGTGGCCACTGTCCAAGTCCATAATTTGTGCCTGCAAACTGTATTCGCATGCACTATATTGTACCTTATTATGTTTGAAAGGCTCTCGCTTTCACTTGCACACTAAATCTTGAGGCTTCACACCAAGACCCTACAACTATTGAAAGCGCCCGCTGCAAGTACTACAAACATAATACGGAGCTGCTTTCCCTCCGACATTGACTCTGCATAGGTTCTTGTTCTGGCACCTCAACAACTTCGTCAAAGACCAAGAGCAAGGACTGTAGAATTGGGTCCTGGTGTATCTGGTGGGCAGGAAGTGTAGCTACAAAAACATGATTGCTCATTTGTCAATAATAAATGCTTACTCGAAGGACACGCAATGGAATTGATCCTGAAAATGCTACCTCAGCCCTTGTCGGTGTCACTCGATGAAAAGATATGAAAAGCATCGCCGCCCCCGGTTGGTCTCGCACGTCTCACACGCCAGTCGGTCCACATCTCCGGAATGGTTCTGAGGCTCCGAGGTGGACAGGACCTTGCATGGTGCCATCGATCACTTTGTGGCACTGGAGTGGCCTTTGGGAGTTGGGTGACAACCACTTTCAGCCTGTGACAAGTGGTCTTGCGTCATCTCGCGGAGGATTCCGAGACAAAATGCATCGCCCATGCGCCATAGCTGTCAGAGCCGTATCAATGAACTGGGAGATGGTAGATCTTTTGAAGTGATCAACTTCAATCCAAAATGTTCACCTTGATTGGTGAAACACAGAGTTTCCCACTAGCCTCGCCCGCCTCACATTCTCACATCGAATCCATGGGAGTTCTCTTCCCCTCCCAATATCCAAAGTCTGAACTGCCAACTCACGGTCACAGTCACATAAGAGAAAACAACCACTTACAAGTAAGGTTGGCTACGTTGGCACCGACAATTGAACCAAGTGGCATCAACTCCACAAGAAATGTTGCCTTTGATTGTCCCGGGGGACGAACAAACACTTCCACTGGTGCCTATGGTCAAGTGACCTGCCAACAACACAGCTGGTTCACAACCTGACATGGTCCCAAACTGCAAACTCTTGAGCTCCTGACAGGACCTTCGGTATCAGGATGGATTGAAAAGCTGAAGCTGGACCTAAGAGGAAGTCGCAAATTGACAAGCATCTCCAAATCTCAATGATCCAATGATGGCCTGTGTCCGTCTATGATCGTATATATCGGTAGTGTGAGGTGTTTGTCTCCATTGACACGAGTCAATTCAAACATTGGCCCAGCACCTGCATCATCCTCAGTCAGCCGGTACTTGCCATGCATTAATGAGCCAGAGCCGCACAAACATTTCTCCTGCACCCTCAGTCAGGAATTCTCAGGCTCCCCACGCTGCCAGGAAGTTCTTTCGCAGCTCTCCAACTGTCACCGCCTAGGGAGTGATTCGAAATCAAATCTATAACGGTTGCATGAAAATAAATACAATAACAAACTTCACTTCTAGGCAAAGCCCAATCCCTTAAGAGGAAACATGTTTGTGCGTCGGTGGTTTCCAGCCTGATTGCTTGTGGTCGTGCTTCTATAAGTTCCTTCACACTACCTACCCGAGATTACCGACCGGGATTACCCGAGACTTCTCAACAAGCCCAGTAACACCTGTTATATGCCGGTCACTCTCTTGAATCGGCGGTCTGTTCAACCGCAGATAGATATCACCCTGACTTACGCCTTGTTTGTCCTGCAAAAATCACAAAGAGCATCATGCAGGGGAGCAGTGAGTTTCATTTACATCCAGTGTCCAACAAAGATAGTGAGTGTGATGCATCCCGGGATGCTGAGATGCATACTTGCCAAATGGCTGATGTGATCGACGAGTTGTTTCTCGAAGACTTGATGGCTATCGTTTAGCTGAACTTCTGATCTTGCCTACTCTTGCACGCGTTGTTCAGACTCAATTCAGTACTTTGCTCGCACAGCTACAGGCTTTGCTTCTACCTACGTGACATGTTCTTTCCTGACATTTTGCCACCCGACACTTTTTTCAGGGCGTCGTTGGAGGGGCAGCGGACTTTCATCACTCACTGCCCAAGGAAGACACTGATGGAAGGTTGTGATATCTGGAAGGACACTTTCTAAGGTTCTACACATGCCTGCATTCAGCTTCTGGGTTCTAATCACCTTTAATTAAAAAAAACACTGTTCCTCAAGGCCGTTGGCAGGTATTCAGGGTCGACTTCAACTTCCCACAGTAACTATATACTCCTAAAGAGTTGATGCATCACAAGATAACCCAGGATTTGCACCGTAGATGCACGCATCTCAAGTGTTTGTTTGATTCAAGGATGCAGGAACAGGCTTCTTGCTCAAACCACCAGGAGCTGTGGCATCTGAAAAGGCTTCCTCCTCAATCTCAACGACGTAGGTCCTGGGGAATGCAGGAATCAAGCCGGAGAACACCATCACCTCCATTCCTGGTCCTTTGGGCTTCAAAAAAAAGCAACGAAGCTCGGGATCGTGGAAGCCACCAGCTCTTAAAGACGTTGGTGACGGCCCGCGCTTGTGACGCATGACTAATCGTGACTCAAGGTTCGCCGTTTCCGACCCGAGGACTCGCAAGAGCATGTCTCGCCACTGAGTTCGGTTAAGTTTGCGAAACATCATAAGTTCGTGGACAGAAAGGGGTAAACACCATTAGCCTAGCCTCTCAATGCTCAATAGGATTGCTAGAGATCCAAAAGGCATGCTTGAGCTCTTACTTGTATCAGCGTAGATACCCGGCAGCTCCCTAAAGTAACAGCTTTGGCGGCGGCATCTCAGGAGTTTAGTTCTATATATGTGCTCTGTACTATCAGTGCCTTTGGCAGCGGTAAGAGCATCCACAAAGGAGTCATCAACCTATCAGAGAGGTCGTTGGTTTCCATTATTATGGGGTGTTTCTGGTGTGGATTATATCTGTGCATGGGAAGCCTTGTGGCTGGGGGGGTGGACTTGCATGCAAATAGCAAGAAGTGGCTTGGTCATGGACTAAATAGGATAAATAGGCTCAAAGAAGTAACATTACTGTATATACATGTCTCAAGTGACTTCAGCCTGCCAATGCTTTTTTGCAACAACACGGTGAACATGGCTAACCCTCTTATCATATCGGTGAACCAATCGACCTCTCCGTAACGCACAATACGAGAAACATGTGCCCCTAAAGGGCAATCTTCGGCTTTGGCACTCCGAATGTATGCGCGGGGATGGCGGCCATACCTCAGCCACAGCATCACATGCTGCCAGGGGCCCCATTGCTGGAGACGGCGTATAAACCAGGTGTTAGATGTCTTGAATATTGAAAACCAGTGCATTTCAGAGTGTGGCATCATGATGAGCATGAAACTTTTAGACAAGACATGACCTGATTCTGGTACACTCATATTTATGACCAAGCAATGAAACTGATGGGGCGCGTGTTCTATGCCGCTTCCAAAGTTTGCTGGTGCTTCCTCCAGGCATACCTCTTTTTCCTTCAGCTCGGCATGAACATTGTGATGATCCTGACTTCCGGCCAGGTTTCGGGAAGCCATAAAGGAGGACTTGAGAGTGACTTCGTTCTCCGCCACATGCATGGCTGCCTTCAAGGATTTCAACCTGGGCGGTCGGTCGAAACTTGTCCTACCAAATCGGAAGAACCCAGATGTTTGGCAGCCTTCCCTACAGGAAGACACTGGTTCTGCACCAAAACCATTGTGGGGGGGGTGTCCTCCCAGCCAAAAATGGGCTCGTAAACCAGCCAAACCCTATATAGGGCCTGGCTGCATGTCCAATGCCCCGAAGAAGTTTCTTGCCAGCAAGGTCTCAGCAAATCAGCAACCACAGTTTGGCGGTCAATCCCAAGAAATATATAGACTGTGAAATCGTGAAACTGTTGGTCAAACGTAAGGGTGAACGTGGGTGAACGGTAGTGCTTCCACGCTTTTTTTCCGCCTCAGTTTGCAGCCACAGGGCTCTTTTTGGGGTGAAGGTACCTGTTGCAAGGTCTGCAACGCCTCTCCACTGGTGCAACGCTGATTCGGATTCATTTCCAGGCAGGGTGGGCCTCAGAATGTGACGCCAGAAAAAAGCAACGGAAACATACGAAAACGAGAAAGGAGTGACGTCGAATCCTTCGCGGTGTGAAGTCCTTCGAAAATCCGGTCAAATTCAACTGTAGCTGTTGGAGGGTTGAGAAAAGTCAAACGAGTTGTTTTTTCTAGCAGCTTGGCATAGCAAAGTGTTGTTGTTGGCGGCGATGATTTCACCGTGACTGGCAAACTCAAACATCTATATGTTTTCAGATTCCAGTGAACTCAGTTGACGCCTGTGCTGTTTGGCAGCGACTACTCTGACTTTTGATGATATGTGGTGAGTTCTGAACCTACAGCCCTGTCGCGCCAAGAATGTCCGTTCGCATCCACAAGGAGAGCCCGAAAATCGTGCAGTCAGTGTCAGTGTGACTCATTTCTGAAAACTCATCTACATCCACCCCCATCTTTTCCCCTGTATACCATCTTTTCCCTCTTTCCCCATCTATCCCCTGTATACCTTCACATCGTTTCGCGTCCCAAACGTGCCATGACAAAACACCGATCTCTCACAAGAACTATATCTCAACAATTAGAGCAGCTACACTACATGCAAACCGGCTGTTTTCGTCCCAGCACAGAAAGAGTAGCCTGCCCCAGTAGCAAACAACAAATACCACAAAATAGGTTCAGGTTCAGGTTGCATTTAACCAATGACATTTGTCGTCATTTGTCGATTGTAAGCGATGCCTTGGGACTTGCCTCCAACCACCGCGCAAACCGACCGAGCCCCTGGCAAAACTCTTCCTGCACGAAGCGAAAAGAAAACACTGCAAGGAATGTCAGATACAAAACCATGAGACGCAGCTCTGAAAGTATGTCATCAAATATATCACTCCTGCAAACGAGCAATGGTATCAAGGCAAAGCAAACAAAGTATGTGTAGCGACACGCAAGGATTTGGACCGGGGCCTTGCACAGCTTCTGAAAAGGAGTCTCCTTGGTTTGCACTTGTGTGCAATTAATGGGAACCCGATACACAGCTAACAGCTTACAGGCCCTTGCTCCTGATTTCATGTTTGTACGGCACAAGCGCTATCTATGGCCAAACTGGAGTCACTTATGCCGAATGCCATCTGCATGTTAGAGTAGATGGTATATCCAAACTCGTTGGCTATTTTGACCTTACTGTGTAAGTGAGACAAACATTTCAAAATGCGAAACTTATGACATTTCAAAGCCAAACACCACTGAAGTACCATATCATTGGCAGGAATAGAATCTTCCAATCCATCTGGTTTTCTTTCATTACTGCCTACATCTCCATCTGCGAGGCACGGTCTCAATTGGCCATGGCATCTCTGAAAAGTTTGCTTTGGATGCCGCTTCAATCCTCGATAGAGCCAGTGAAACTGAGACGTGTCCCAGTCTGGTGTGCATGATGTGGACTCTGTGGGCTGTGAATGTTCATAGCGCGTCCGACTTTCGGATGCGAAGTTTCTTTATGTTTCGTTCACGTTGGAAGAGCTCCAGATTTCATGGAAAACGCCTGCCAGGTCTTCAAATCTGAATCATGCAAGTATTTATTAATGTCACAAACCCCATGGTTTGTTTCATTGAACGAGCTGCAGTCTTGCAAATGCAATTGATGTGCGCTACTCTGCCATACAGTATGATACAGATGCCATGTGCTTCCGTAGAGAGAGAGAAAAAGGGAGAGAGATAGAGAGAGAGATAGAGAGATGCAGAGTGTGTGTGTGTGTGTGTCAAAGCCTGTTTCAAAGGCTACACACAGTGTAAATTATTTCAACAACCCAAAGGGTTCAAAATGTTTAAAGGTTAAATCGAGGCAGGGGTGCAGAGATGATGCAGGGGGGCAGTGATCCCTTCAGCAGTCACTGCCTAACAAAGACACTGCTGATCGGACGTGATATTCGGAGAGGACGCTCTCTGAACGTACCTGCACAGGGCCAATGAATCGGTGATGCAAAACAGTGTACACCTGTTGTTCTCGGCCCTTTATAAGGTCTGTTTTCCAGGTCCAGGTCGTTTCTGCAGTAAAGTGCTAGTGCATCCGTGCTCCAACAACTGATTTAGCTCTTGCGAGCATCAATCTAAGTGTGTGAAACCCTTAGAGTCACAGGGAACTCAGGGAACCTTCTGGTTTTTAGTCTTTGAGCAGGGGGCCATCCCTCTCACCATTGGTGGATGGCCAATGAAGAGGCCAATCTTGAGAGCTGTAAACGTACCTGCTACTTTAACTGTCTTGTCTGAGTTTCTTTGTAATCTAATGTAACGGCGATTCTCTTGTGAAGCTTCGCCCTTGTACATTTTACATGTCCCAATGCATATGCGCAATTCCTTTCTAAAAGAGTTCCTTTTTGGCTTTGACCTGCCGACTTTCAAGCTCTTGCAGCCTGTCTTGCTTTGTGAACAGTACGCGTGCGGATTGAACTAACAGTTGAGCGTCAAACAGGGAGACTCTTACCATGGCTGATTTGCCGAAACCTGGCTTACGCAGGCCCCGTTTTTTTAGAGAGCTCGAAGTTATGCGGGCGTGGCTTTTATGTGTTTTTTGTTGTTTTTCTTAGATTTTGTAATTTTTTGAAAGAGTTTCCACGGTTGGGGTCTAGATATGTTGTTGTGCTCCTGTTTCCCAAACAAACCATCTTTTCTTTTTTCAAACAACCTCTGGATCCCACTCTACCCTCCCTTGCCCATAAGCATTCTCATTGTTTCAAAGGTAACACTTTTTGGGCTTCTCCCCCCGCATTCTTTATAAAATGGAGGGAAGATCATTATCTTGAAACACCATGCGCCCACCAGGCCCAACAAAAGTTAAGAAACTTGCTTAGTAGTACTGCGTGACTGATTGGAATTTGTTTTTGCATGGCCTTCTTGACGCCCAATGACGCCCATACCCATAATAAGCCTCATCCCCATTCTCAGGGTCATAGCGAACCTTTCTGCGAGCATTGGGAGTTCACATCCTATCCCACAAGTTAATCCTGCTCATCTCCACTGCTCTCACCCAATGGCTCTTCAGGTCTATGCTCCATGTCCTCCCATCTGCGACGAAATCTTCCAAAGAATCGAAGCCCATGGAACGATCCAGCCATAGATACACTGAGGGTCTGACTTGGCTGTGTGGCCACTACTCATTCCCAAGCTCATGAAGAACCTTCTCGACTGGGGGGCGCGCGAAAAAAACGTGTTTTTTTGGCGCCCCCCTCCAGCAACTGGGGCCTGGGCCTGGGCTTCTCTGGGGGGGGCGCGAAAAAAATAAAAGCTCGTGGATTTGGACAACCAATTCCTTTTTTTTGGCGCCCCGCCCCCCAGAGAAGCCCAGGCCCAGGCCCCAGTTGCTGGAGATTGAGAACTGATTGAGATTGGAGGTCTTGGAGACCAGATCCCCCTCATAGAGGTGATGACCTGATGATGTATGATGTGATGTCATGGACTTTCTGATAGATGATGGTTGATGGACTTCTGTCTGGGAATCATGAGAGCTAGTACTTTTGCAAAAGCTTGATGAGAGATCTGACAGATTACACGTCGACATTTTTGCTAGACACATTCTGCAAAACAACCAACATGTTTAAAAAAAACGTAGAATAACCACAAACCACAAAAACGCATCAAAACCACACCCGTATAACTTTGTTTTCTGTGTTTTTAACCGAGGTTTCTTCTCAGCTCTGGCGGCCTCAGACCGTACGCACTATCTCGAGTGTGCGTGCAAACTATTTGCATCAAGGGTCAGCTGCTCAACCACGAAAGATTGGAAGGGCGCCACACCGGTCGAGATGAAAAAGGCAATGCGGCCAAGGGAGAAGACGTCGACGCTGCAGTCTGCGCAACAATGACAGCTTCAAAAACTTTGACCATCGAATGTCCATCTAGTCTGAGGGCTGCAATGTGACTAGCGTTTTAGCGCTCGACAAGTGATCTGGCCTGGCTTCAGCCCGCCCGATTCCACCGATCGGAGGATCTCTGGAGCCATCCAATGTGGAGAGCCTGTGAGCACTGGCAGTTGTCCAGGTTCCTCCGCTTTGTGAGCGGGAGCTAAGGGGTAAAATAGGATATATAAGGATCAATAAAATATGATGAAATCGCTTTCAAACCGATGAAGGGACATGTCAGGTCTTCTCCCAAATTCGATCATTGGCCGTCGCCAGGCCCGCCAGGCCCCAAAAAGACGTTCACTGATTAACTCTTAGCAGAACGATCAAATCAAAGGGATGCATAGCAAATGGCCTTCCTAAGAAGTCCCCCGCGGGTCCCCCAAATGGCACAGCCATGTGCAGCAAGAAGCCTCCTAGCATCCTCTGCTTGGATCTCCGTAAGACACTCATGCCAAAGTCCACCAGCACAGGATCCAAACTGGCACGGCAGACGCTTGCATTTTCCTCTTGCAGCGGATGCTAAAAAGCATTATGTAAATCAAGAACCACCGATTCGATGTCGCTAGAGGCGAATAATATGAACGCGAACCCCCCACAATCACTACAGTCACTAGAGGAAGCTTTGCATTTCCAAAACCAGGTGATCCCAAGAACCAAAAGCTTCGGCCAGCAGAGTGGTGCAACAGAAATTGGCTGACAGAAATAGACCGCTGCTGTCCGCCAAACATTGCATCAAGTTCTGGAGAACTGGAGGCTCCCGGAAAAGGTGTGAACAATGCAAACGCAACATTGCAAATATTTCAAAACGATTCAAAACGCCTGAAAGTGCGAAACATATCCAAAAGGTCTCGCTATTCTTTCAGCGAACCTGGCCAAATGCTAATCAATCTTGCGAGACTCAAGAATGCGTTTCACATGCATTTCGCGCGCCCCCGGGACACCCAGTGCACCTGGCAGTTCTCAATAGGATGTTCTTCGGCGACAAGTCGCCGTGCAAGATGGAGGGGCCCTGGACTGAAATTGGATCAATTTTGAAGAAAGAATGGACCAGAAGGGTCGAGCTAACAGGATTCTATTTGATTAAATGCATTGTCAAGAAAAACATTCAGGTGGTCAGTGCGTAGTCACTGCAGTCAAAGCCATCTACATCGCAAGTCCGGTCAAGTCGGGCATATCTTGGAGAATGTTTCAGCGTTAACTTATAGTTCCTGGGAGTAGGCAATTCGGATAGACTCAGAACCCTTTGACAAGTTATTGTGTTGATGGACTATTGACCAATGCCAATCCAGCGAAAGTGCGAAAATGATAGATGCACTTTAACATGTAGAAAATGTTGAGTGGGTGCGAATAAAAAGGGCAACACAAATATACTGTTACATGGTGATTCTGGGTGCTTCCAGCACTTGTGACAGGGGCAGCTAGCTGGTCCTTGGCACCGCCGCTAATAGTGACCCTGTGCGATTCGCACAGTGCCAAAGTGGACAGTGCTCAAAACCTCCCATTTTTTCATTTTTTCATTTGGGAGAGTTTGGATCATATGTGCTTTCATCCCATTTTTCACAAGGGTCAGCACTTGTAAGGTGGAATTTAGATTGGGGAAGAGCAGAAAGTGCACTCTTTTTTGGCGCACACGCGTTTTGCAGGTGTATTTTCTTTAGACTTGCGGCCACGTCCGGGCCAACGCCTCAAGCAAATTTCCTCGGTTGTTCCACCGAAACTGAAAACTGCGGACATATTGATCGACGCGTTTTGCGTCACCCCACATCTACCACGAAGCATCAACTTCGTGACGCAAGTGCAAG